GCAGAAGAAAACTTTCCTAGTGTTCTCCATTGAAAATATTATCTCTCGCATGCCTCCCATGCCTAAAACTGAACTAATATCTTGTAGTTTAAGATAAAGATGCCTGGCTTTTCGGTTGAATCTTTCTGGCCTGAAAGTGAGCAAGGGGAAAAAGGAAAAGATGAAATGATGAGAACTAAGAATGTCTGAATGACAAACAACAAAACAGCAAAACTCTTTGAAAACTGAGTAAAATTACCTATTTCTACTCCTTATTCCTCATTTTCCTTTTACATTTTATAAGCTGCCACTTGTATTTACAATAAATGCAAACCTTCATTTGCAATGATTACGCTTCCTTCATTAACTGTAATAATTTTCATCAAAAAAAGGTTCCAAAGACGCGTTTTTAATTCCTCAAAATTTGGATTGAAAGACAGTTTACAATCCATGGAAAAAGTGGTCTGAAAGACTGATTTTTATTACTACTAATAGATGCTAGAAAAGATTTTTCATCACAAGGATTAAAATGTTCTCTATTATTTGCATTATGCTAATCAGATTAGTTTAGCGTATTAATCATCTTGGGACGTGAAAGACATTAAAGCTACTACAAGTTGATACAACAAGAGGGCAAAACTTCCAACCATTGCATTCGATTTCATTGAGACAGCATCGAGTTACATCAATTTTGACTATTCAAGTTGCGTTTTAAGGAACACAGCCAATGAAGATATCAAAGCACTACAAGCAAACTCGACTAAATGAAAGTCAATCGGAATTTGTACAGAAGAAGGAAGTTTCACGTCTCATGAATCAAAAGATTGAGAGTGTAAGCAGAATATTGAAAAATGGGAAAACCTGAAACTTGGAATGAAAAACTTCGAAGATGAATCAAAGTACATTTTGTCATTTCGTTTGACCAACTTGCTCATTTAATTTACTTTGAAAAATAAACAGAATTTGATGAGTTTCCTTCGGAAAAGTGCTGAAACTTCATTTTTCGTAAAAAGACAAAAAGCAAAAAATGAAAGTCAACATTGGAAACCAACATTTCCCTGTTTACTTCGAAAAGCGACTTTTACTCTTTACTCTTATTCGTCATGCCACTGTTAACAGTAAAATTATCATTTGATGATGATCATCATTTTCAACTCGATTGAACTCTATTCTTCCCTCTTCATCATTTAATCATTTTGTCACCAAAATCCATTCATTTTGCTGTGAAAATTAAAAAACTGAAGTGAAAAGTTTGAATCCAAAGCAGCGAACAAAAGGCAACGAAGAAAAGCGTAAAAATATTGTTGACCTTTTCTCTAGTGGCTTGAGTAATGGTCCACTCTTTTTCACTTGATCATCATTCTGTTCACCATCATACCATCATTATCAAATAATAACATTTCTCTTTTCCTTTTTAATCAAACATTTCGTCTGGTAAACTCTTTTTACCATCAATTTTTTAAATCTCAAGATTCACTCGAATTTTTGCCCGAACTCGATTCAAGTATAATCATTTTACTCTTGTTTTCCGTTCTTGTTCATTGCAACTGGCGATAGTCTTTAAACTTTACAATCATTTAGCATCATCAACCATATAACTTGAAAAAAAGAGTTGAATCTTTTTCTTTCCTCAATCGTATAATAGAATCATTTCGTTCTTTTTATATTCATTTTGGCCCTTTTTTGCTCGTTTTGTTTGTTGACTAGTGAGAAGCAGAAAAGCAATATCATTGAAGAGAAACAACTTGAATTGATAGTTTATCATTTCAAATATTATAATAAATCTTTACTCAAGATAATACTTGAGCTTATTCAATCTCAACTTTTCCACTTTCTCAATGCTCTTTATTGCCGATCAACTTAAATGGTCTCAATAGATTGATGAATGGATGAGAGTGACTTTGAAAGATGATCAAAGTTTTTTACTTTTTTTTCTCCTCTTTTTTGTTCTCCTTTTTTTCTAGCATTTCAAATAGATTGTAATTGAATAGGAAGACAAAAAAGAGAAAAATTGTGATCTTTTCCATCATCATCAGATATCCGTTTCAATCATTGAAAAGTACTTTATGGACATTATTTGAAGAAAAAACTTTTACTTTTGTCTTTAAATTTCATTGAATGCAAAAATCCAGAGTCAAACTGGAATGAATGATTGAAAATTTTGGTTCAAGTTTTTTGATGTTTTTTGTAAAAATAAATTTCTAACTGTTCTGTCATCTTTTCCTTGTTGCAGGTCCACCTGAAGCCGTTAGAAAATGTCAGATAACAAATCAATCTACAACCTCGTTGAATGTCGAATGTATTCCTGGTGATAATGGTGGCCTTAAACAAGAATTTACTGTAGAAGTTTACAATTCTTTGCGACAAAGTTTACATTCAAATTATACCTCATTAACCAAACCTGCCTTTCACATACCAAACCTGTTGTCGGGAACGCCATTCACTCTAGTCTTGTATTCATCCAATGCCAAGGGTAGAAGTCATTCCGTTTCAATACCAGGCTCTACTCTGGGTGAACCAGAAAAGCACACAGGTAAGAAAAGAAACTATTTTTGTCCCTTTTTCCTTCTTCCCATCATTTCCATCTTTGAGGATGAAAATTTTCGAGTTTCAGGTTCTTCAAACTCTCAGTTTTGACCAATTCTTGATAAAGAGTCAAGATTCGCTTCCATGAAAATATCTTCTTACAATTGCAATTGAAAATCGCTAAGATTCAAGCGAACATTTTCTCAGCACCTTTGAGAAACTTCATGTATCATGAGCACAGTTTAACCTTCATTTTTTACAATTCAATCTTTACCATTTATCTTTCTCACTTCACTATACGCCCAGCATTCAGGTCATCTTTAACTTTCAACTTGACACATTGTATTCAATCTCATTTTTCTCATTCCCAGAACTTATACTTATTCTCCCTGTTCATTGAAAGTTGCACATTTACTTTTTGATCAAATCAACATTTGTTAAACTTGTTTCTCTCTTCAAACCAATTCATCATTCTTCATCTTTCTAATGATAAAACCAGCAAGACCAAGACATTAATCAAAAGCCACCGTCAATTCACATTCTCAACAGATTTATCAATCTTTTATCATCATTAAATTCATTCCCAATTCTTTCCTTTTTTCTTATCCAAAATTACTATTCAACATTTTTCATGGACCACAATTTGTCCCTCTAACTGTGATTACATTACTTGATCTTAATATTTCAATAGTAAAGTTAATAAAAAGGAAAAAAGTTTTACCCTCAATAGATTCATTATTGTTACCATTAGTACTGTTATTGAATCATATTATATTGACTATCGGCCAATTTATCCAGTAAATAGCATTCTATAGATTATCTTTATTGCAAAGGAAAAGACCAAAAGTTCAAGTTAATGGCAACGAATGTTCAACCTTAAGTAATGATAAAAGTAAAAAGACTTAAGGTCAATCATGAAACAAAAATTTACTTTCAAAGTCCATTTTCATTTTCCATTGTAAGTAAATTTCATTAGAAATATTTCATGACAACTTGAAGACTTTTAAGAAATTATTGAATTCGAAACATTTTAACCTTTTCCAAGTTTCATGATGAAAGACTTTAGTCGATGAATAAATCAGGTAAAATTATGCATTTTTCTTCTTCACCTTAAAGTGTTAGGTAATTTCCTAGGCAACTCTTGAATCTATTGAACATTGTAAATCAATTTCGTTTCCAAAGTGCGAGTCGAGAAAAAATAAACAAAAGTTGCCATTAAAACTCAATTACAGATATAATATTACATGAGAGTAAATAAGTTTTAAAATTAAACATTTAAAATGAAAGTTTCAAGTTGAATTGTTCAATATCGAATGAAATTCATGAAAAAAGAAGCAAAAGTGCAACCTTTCTACTTGTTAAATGATTGCCAAAGAAACGAAATTTAATTGCAACAAATTGAAATTAAATTGTATCAAAGACTTTTTCGTCTGTTCCAACAGTTGATTCAAGTCGAGTCAAAAAGTGAATTTCAATTTAACTAGCTCAATGAACTCAATCTCGACCTGAATTGATGATGAAAATGATCACCTTTTCCATTCAATTTCTTTCATGTTCTCTTATCCAACCAAAATGAACAATGAAGAGAAGAAAATTTCTTTCCTTCTCCTTGCCTGAGCATTTCATTTTTTTACCTGTCAATTTGCTTCTCACCTAAAGTCAACATTTGAATACAAAAAAGTTATGTGCCGAGAAAGGATGGAAAAGGATTGAAGTGATGATTGAAAGGTGAGGCAAGGTTGGCAACTTTTTCTTTGAAAGATAAAAGTTTTTCTTCTTCCTTCATCAAACATGAGCATCTTTCAGATAATCTGTTGAATGCTTGAAAGAGGTAAAAAATGACAAGTTCAAGTTGAATGAGCAAAAGTAAAAGATGAAAATAAACTGTTTGCAACAAGAAAAAAGTCAAAGTTTAAAAGGCATAAACAAAAAATGTAAATCTCTCAAAGAACTTTTTCTTTTTACCTTTTCCACTCTCATGAATAATCTTGACAAAAGTGGTGAAAATAAACGACAAGCTGTGAGCCAGAAATCGACAGATAAACAGTGTAATTACAGTTTCAGGTAAATGTCTAATCACAAGAATTGAACATGAATTGAACCAGTTTATTGCTTCAATTGTTTGCTTTCCGTCACTTGAATGAGCTTCCAATGTGTCAGTTGATAATCAATGAGGTTCAATCAAATGTCCAATTGTTTATTTAGAACTTCAATTCTACATGATTTTGTTACCCTTCAGAATCTTGTTCATTAAAATATAAACAGAACTTTTCTCGTCGAATTTTTTTTTCGAAATTTCCATCATATAAGTTGATAATGAGAACTCGAAAAATCGAATTAATTTTGAAACTAATTTTCCTTCTTTGCAAATCATGTGCGATAAGCTGAACATCTTTTTATGAAAAAGAATTGAACTTTTCTCCAAATCAGATTATTTTTCTTCCTTGTGTTTACATTGAAGCATAAAGGGTTCGAACTTAATCAATAATTTTAAAACGAAAATTCAATATTCTGTTCAAGATAATTGATAAATTTGGAGTTTGGGTTTAAGTGCAAAAATCATGCACCAAACATGAGATTTAATCCAACTTTAGATAAAGCAAATTGAGTTTGGAAAATTTCAATGAAATTAACTTTTCGTTGATTCAGTTCCATTTGATGATATTCAACCTTCAGAATTCAGTTCAACTATTCATGTTACACTTTACTTGTCAGATTAATCATGGCCACTTGATGACCAAAACTCTTGTGTTTATCAGCACTTGTTATTGCGAACAAACGATTGCAATGATTTTCCATTGAAAGTTATACCATTTCAGTTTCCATTGAATACTCATGAAACTGAAACATTTCAATTCTATTCTCTCAGGTTTTACCTGATTAAATGGAAAAACAATTTTCTTTTATTTCACTGAACATGTTGAAAAGAATTAAATTGATAATCATCTTGAGGCTCAAAATTTTCCTCTTCTTTTGTTCACTTGAGGTTCTTTCCCTGAAACTGATGAAATCACCTTTCTTATTATACCTTTTTATCACTCCATTTTCATGATAATGCTCATTATCGTTGTATTCAGTTTGATTGAGATAAAACTCTAAACCTTAAAAAATATCGAGTTCGTTGCAGGGTAAATGGTGTTTATTGTTGAACAGAAAACAAGTGTTTCAAGTATTGATTAGCTTTGATGGATCAACACTAAATGAGACTCTTAACTCTTTCATTAGTTGTTCAATTTCTTCATTGAACCAGACACTGACAAGTTCAAGTGAATAGTCAATGTTATTGTTTCAACTGAGTTTCAATTTGTTGAGTTGAATGTTGAAAAACAAAGAGCGAAATTGCATTGAAATTATTTTCTTTTCAAATGATTGAAGGAGAAAAAACAAAGAAATTGTTTTCTCAATAATTTTCTTTTCTATTCTTTGGTCAATTTTCATTCAATTGAATAAAAGTCTTTTGGTCAAAGAGTAAACTTTAACAAGGATAAAGCAATAAAGGTCAAGAAAAGAAAACCGGAAACCAGAAAATGGGAAAAGAGAAAAAATCCGGAAATATTCAAACTACATTTTGCTTTGGAGCTTCTATTGTGTTACAAGTTTGTCCTTTTGTTTCTCATTCGTCATCAAAAGATGAAATGATTCGTTTCAATATCATTTTAACCTTGACCAATTGATACCAAATTGAGGTTCAATTGTTTCAATCGTCAACTTCCGTCAACAGGGTTCATTGTACGTGAAATACGCTTAGCGTTTTTCATTCGGATTTTGATACACTAAAAATTTTTAAGCTTATTATCTTTATGGTCGAAGTATTTTGACTGAAATTCATTGGGCGCAAAGGTCCCAGCTCAAGAGTATCAATGTAATTTCGTAATGGCAGGTCTTGTTTGTAATCTGAAAGTGTCTTGTATTTAGTCAGAAAATAGTTCATTTTCTTGCTTCTTTCTGACGACAAAACAAACCGATTGAAATATTGGTTAAGAAAAGTCATCAACATTCCCAATGATCACAACCAAACTCATACCAATAAGATCCTTAGATTCGCTTCCCAGTCTGACCCATTTTCCCTTGAAACATCTTTACTCCTTACAAGTCACGTTCCTGTAAGTAAAGTAAATCTTGATGATAATTTGTCTTGGATATCTATCTATCTATATATTGTTCAATCCTTTCTCCTTTTTTCCCATCATCATTCTCATCCGTTGTCTTTAACATCACAAGAATTTTTCTTTTCTTTTTTTTGACAACTTCGACAGGAACAATGTTATAAACAAGAACCATTTTCATGTACTTTTTGCCTCAACAAAAACAAAAACATCATCAAGTCAATGGTTGTTGACATTCAGACTTTCCCTTTTCTCCCCAGTAATGCTATTACTCGAGACAATAATACCGTTAAACTCAATTGAATAAGACAAAATGAGAAGGCTAAAGCCACCGAAATGATTATCATCATGGTAACCAAAGAAAACTGTCCCTTCCTCTTTAAGATGATAATAATACATTGTATCACAAAACAGAACAATTGTTTCGAAAAGAAGAAGCAAATAATAATATTTTTCATCCAATCGCTTCTTCTTCAATTTAGACTTTTTTCGATTCTCTCGTTTTCTGATGAAATTAAATTGTCAAAGTTCACTATGAGACAATGAAGATTATTTTCAAGATTGAAAATTGAAGAGGCATAGCTTCAGAATACACAAAAGAAGCAATGCTAAAATTGGTGAAATAATTTTTTGGCGTCTTTAAATTAGATGCAAGTTGATTCATTAATAGATCAATCATCTTGAATCATAAATGAACCACACAATATTGAAATACGAATTTTCGATTTTCTCGAAAACTGATATTTCAAAGCTTGAGCTCAACCAGTCTGGATGTTCATTTTATTTCTTCGAAAAATTTCAAACAAAAAACTAAATCTGAAATTCTTTGATTTTCATTTCCAAGCATTGCAGATGATCCAATCTTATGCATTTTTCACAGTCTAAAAGCCATCATTAAACTACCTCCAAAATAGTCAGAACTTTTTCATAATTCGGATTACCTAGAAATTGGCGTTTAGGCACGCTAGGAGAAAAAAGCGGAATCCGTATTCTTTACTATTTACTTTTGTGGAAAAAATTTTTGATTTAAAGGTTATCATTTTATTGTTACATAAGAAGTTTATCTTTCGAGTAAAGATTCGATTAAAATATATTTTTCATGATTATCACCTGTAAACATACAAGTTTGGTCAAATTTGGTTTTGGTAGGTAGTAACTTAGAAGCGCGAAGTCAGAGCGCGGGTCAAATGAATGCAAAAGTTTCAAAGTTCGAAGCTTTTATTTTTTGTTAAAAAAATTACAATTTTCGTCTTTCCGAGCAATGCTCAACTGAAAATCCTCGAACTCTCTCTTTTCCTCTTTATCAAAAGAATGAACAAATTTTTGGAAAGAGGGAAGGCTAATTGAAAAATTTGAGAATTCGTCTTCTAAATCACTTACTTTTTCTTCAATTCGAGCTTGTCAGCAAACGATAAATCCTCAGTTTCGTTCGTTATGCAAGATGGCGAGGATGATAGAGGTGGCGGTGGATCAAGTATTGTTGAATATGCTTATAATGGCTGATAAGTAGAATTTTGTGGTGATGCAGCAAAAGTTATGGTGCCAGCATGGACATTAATGAACAATTTCACTGTGCATTGCACCATTGCTGTAGCAGCCGTGACAGCTGATAAAACAATCTCATGAGTAAAATGAATAATAATTCAAAACTTGAAAAAACAAAAAATAATTATCATAATAGTTAAAAATCAAATTTAAATTAGAAAAAATTGAAAAATAAATAAAACAAACTGACAACTTGGACAAACTTTAATGAAATGGATTTTTTACCGATGTAACTCATTCCACCTCCCACTATAGTAGTAGAGAAATGTGAGTTATGGGACAAACTTGATTTATGGGGCAGGGACACTAGGTGATTTCTGGGACAGGTTAAGTTATTGGATTTCTGGGACAGGGATGGGCATAGAGTTACACAGTAAACAAATTAAACAAACAAATATAACAAAAAATGGAATTTATTCATAGAATGAATTGAAATGAAATGGAATGATTACAATGACCTGGATGAGGCCGGGAATTCCTGCCGTGGAATTCCACCGGCCTTGTTCAGTTCGACATCGACATATATGAAATATATTGTTGCTGCTCAACAGTTGTGGTTTGAGCCGATTCTATAATTTCGTTTCTTTGACCTTTGAGTAAATCTGGCCTAACTTTTCGACCCTTTTTCACACCTATGCGTTACAGAGGCCAACTTTAGGATCTTCTACACCTGTGTTACATTAGCCGACTTGATATTAATATTATTTTGCTAACTTCGGAAAGAGGTCTGTTTTTAGTACCAATTAAATAAAAAGCAGTTTAAACATTCATTTTGAAATTTTCGTAAGAAAATTTTCAATAAATCGATTGTGTTTATGATTGGAAAGATAAATAAAGCTGTATAGTTGACCTTTTGACCGATTAGATAAAGATATATCAGCTTTAAATAAAGCTAAACAACACTTAGTGTTAAAGCTTAATCGAGGCTCGTATCAAACTTATCTAAATTGGTAGTCTTGAAAAAACTGATTTAATGTCTTTCTCATTTTAAACACGCGAAAAAATAAACATAGCGCTTAAAGTGCATACTACGCACTCAAAAGCTAATATGCTAATATGGCAGGAAATACGATAATCATTGAACTTTTGTGTGGGAGTTGTCAATGTTTAATCAAATACAAGAAATTTTCAATCTCATCAGCCTCTTATGTTAGACTAAAATAACTCAATAACTTGAAATAAATAATCTAAACTCAAACAATGTATTTTAATAATGCATAACAATACATTTCAATGCATTTGCAAGGGATTGACAATAAATGTAAGCAGAAGAGTCAATAATGTAAACAATAGTTTGTTGTGATTCAAGTTGAATAATAAGCGATAAATATTGCTTATTATTACACATTATCATGCTAATCATTGATTAAATATTATTATGGAGAAAAGTATTGTAATATTTTGACCAGATAATAGAAGATAAAGAGATAAAGTTGTTGATGATGATAATGATGATGTAAGGAAAAGAAGAAGCAGAGGCAATGAGGAGGAGGATGATGATGATGATGATAACGAGGATAATGATGAAATAAAATGTGTGATAAGGTGATATTGAAAGGAAGTGGCAATATTGAATGGCAAAGTTATCAGTTGGACGAAATAAAAGCAAAGACTAGAGCAAGTAATATGATAATGGAAGACAAAAGGAATTCTGAAAGGGAATGAGGAAAAAGGGTAAGAAGAATGATAAAGAATATTGAAAATAATGGAGAGAAAAGGTTGCCTTTGATAGGTAAATGGTGTTTCATATTATTAGTTTCATCAGGATGCAAGTGAGTTCTCCAATGTATTAGTTTGTATTAAAATAAGAATCGAGATGGAATCTAAATGAGAACAAGAATATTTCAAGGTGATCATGAAAGATGACAGTAAGGAGTCAAAGTGTATAAGTTGCTGGTGACGATGAAAATGTACCAGAAATGGGAAGAAAAAGGAAACTCTATTCAATGATAAGTTTCCTTTTTCCTTTCCTTATCATTCAGCTTTATCATTCCCAGTTTTCATTCAAGTTACTTGTTTATTACTTCCTTATTGGATGTCCTTTTGTTGGCAATCATCTTTGCGCTCGGTAAAGATTCAGATGAAAGGATAAACATGATGATAAAGGCAAATTTTTCCTTCTCTTTCTTTTTTCTTCATTCGCCATATTTTGTCGTCGCTTTTTCTCCTTCTTTTGCTCAGCTTCATTTGTCCATTGATGATAATCATGATCATGGTGACCATCTTTTATCTTCTACATTAACTTGATTGAATTTGTTGGCCTTGTTCTACTTATCATCATCACTGATCTTTCATTGAAATATTTTTGTTTTGGCTTTTTTTTACTTCTGCTGTTGCTTCGTTTTCAATTGAATGGATTTGTTGGAAAACGATTGGTCATTTAATGATTCATTGAGCGTGTTCAATGAACACAGGAAAATGTTATCATTATTTAGTCGACTAAATCAGACTTGATTTGACAATGGAATAAATAGAATTAATATTTGATCAAAACATTTTTCTTCCCTTTCTTCCCCGTTTCTCTCTGTATTACAGTTGGAATTGATCGTTCATGAGAAAAGGTTTGATTCTTCAGGAAAAAGTTGCAACAAAATTATTAAGTGCTCGTTTCAGGATTAAGTTAATTTTGAAGTCAACAAAGAAACTCACTTTTCTTTAATTCAGTTGATTTCTATCTTTATTATTTGTTCGAAGATGAAGTGTAATGAGTGAATGGAAAATATTTTTTGACAGGTGATTACTCCGATTAGCACCGATCGACTCTTTGCTGTCTTCTGTTCTAATCCCCGTCTCTCTATCTCTTTCCTAAAATGACTTTATATTCTCAAAAAAAATTGACTGAATTGTGACTTGAACAGTAAAAATAAATGTCGCTGGAGTCCCTTTATGAATCAATAGCTCTTCTATTAGTAACTTCGTAATTGTTCTGAAGTTATTTGCATTTGAAATCTTACATATGAGATGATATATTTGGTTGCTAAACCAATACAAAAAATAACAATAGAAAATTATTTTTTCGAAAAGGTCATAATATCGATGATGTTAATATCCTGAAACACTCTTCAGGCACATATCGATCGGCTGCGTCTAAAGCATGCAAATATTATATCATTCGAATCATTAAAATAGTCTATATTTGAATAAGATCGTAAAGTTGATGATTTTGTAGCATGTGATTGGAATGGATTGACGTTTAGGACGTGCAGCATCTGCCGGTTAATAGATCAATGGATTCTATTTGTATTGAATTCTAAAATCAATTCACTCACCATTTGAACTATTTTCGTCATTAAATATTTACTCGAATCTTTATTTACTAATTGTCGTCCATTAAAGCCATTGTCTCAATAATAATGCAAAATAAGGCAAATAATGTCTTTAAACTTTTGGTAAAACCATTTATATTTGAAATTAAAGCAAACGAAACCTCGTTTGGACCAATTGAATTACCCTAAGTTTCATCGAGACATTCATTTGCTTCATTAGCAGAATCATTATGGTAATCATGAAAATAGGCATTAAATGATTTCCAATTGATGTTGAACCAACTCATGTTTCTATTTGGTCGAGACTTTATTCGCTACTTGAGATCACCTTTTTACCTTTTTTATTGGCCATCTTTTTACCACTTGATCATCCTCTTGGCTCTCATCTTTGACCATTTTTCATTTGCTTTTTCCACTTTTAATGTTGACGAATGGCCAAGCAAATCGCGAAAAGTTTACCAAACCTTTCAATATCTCATTATTACCATTTGACTGTAAACCAACTCCCTGATGGTTTCAGTCAATCAACTCTTATTGGTTTCATTACAGTTTAATGCAATTCTCATCTTATCAGATTTACTCAGCAAAAAAAATGGTAAAAGCAAAAGTCCAAAATGACCTTAAATTCACCTTTTCCTTTCAACTTGAGTAAATGTTGATTTCATGAAAAAAATTGCAAAATTAAAGTTTCGACATTAGAAGTAAACTTGGAATCCAATTTTACTCAATATTGCATGTAATTTGTTTAATGAACGAAAATCAAAGTTGATATTGTTCAGTCTAATTGCTATCAATAGTCGAGGTAATTTGGATTGTCAATGAAGCAAAGGATAAGTTGAAAGCAAAGGTGCAAAATGAAATTGATTGACTTTATTATTACAATCAATTTCATTTTCTGTTGATAATAAATGTTCATCTTGAATCTTGAAGCTCAATCTTCTTTTCATTTTCTTTATCCAATTCTCACTCTTTCACCACCAATTTATCATCATCATAATTCCCTTTTATCTCAATCCAATTTCCAATTTTCTCATCAACAACATTTCATTCCTTTTTCTTCATTCCTTTCTTTTTCCTTCTTTTCTTCAGGAGCAATTCCACAATTTGGTTTCAATCCAATGCTGGGAATACTGATTGGTACAGTTGGTGCACTCGTTTTGATTGCAATTATCATTGTTATCGTTATCCGAGTGAAAGCAGATTATTATGAAGATGACAGAGATGATGCAGCCAAAGGTAAGCTTCAACAATTGAACCTCCAAGCGAAAAGCAAGAAAACCTGAAACTAAAAGAAACGCAAACTTCATTTAAACATTACTAAATGAGATCAACTTGAAAGTGAAAAATAAAGAAAAGACTTTTTTTCCTTTCAAAGACAAAAGCATTTTGGAAAATTTGAAGAAAAGTTTTTCCTTTTTTTGCATTTCGATATCATGAAATCTCATTGAGGTTGAAGGAAAAATCATTCAATGGAATAACTTTTAATCTTTTCTTATTTCACATCAGAAATGGATTCACAGCAGCGAATGAATACCCCCAAGTAAGTCCAGAACTTTTTTTTCTTCTTTTATTCTTTTCTTTATTTGCAAAACTTTGTGGTTTTTGTGTGTGTGCTTTCCTCTCCAATTTGACCATTCAATTTTAAATAAGCAAATGTTGACCTCAGGTTGACAGGGAAATACGAAACTGAAAATCTCTCGACTCTCGACTTCCAGTTGAGCCAAATTTCATTTCTTTTCACTTTCCTTGTTCTTTCCAATTCTTTATCCAAATTCATTTTAAACCTCCCATTGTGAAGATGCTTTTTACTTTCATCATTTTCACTCATATTTAATATCTTTCTTTGCCTTTCACCATTCCATTTAGAATTGACTTTCTTTTTCCTTTTTCAAAGTTCCTTTTCACCCAAATCATCATCATCATCCCTAACCATATTAATCAACCTTCTGATGCGGTTTATATCAATATCCATCATTTGATTAACCGTCTATTTGAAAGTGAAAAGGAAAAGAGAAAAATATCAAACTTTATTGCATCTTCATCATTCACTATCAGCAATCATTTTCACCATCAAAAAGATTTCAATTAATCCAAACCATTTTTTTTTTTGCTTCTCTTCTTGTTGTTTGAGACAGTCTTTTCCCGCCTCGTTTCATGTTCATTTCAACCTTTTCTTTGTCACAATGTTGACCGTTCAATCTGGATTCACTTTTCTACTCTGTCCTTGTCATTAAGATCATTTCAAACATCATCATCATGATCACCCAAATTTCATGTTTCCTTTTCTTTTCTTCTTTTTTCATAATTCTTTTGGATAAAAGATGGTTGAGAAAAACGTTTATAACTCTTTATCATTCCCAATGAGAAGCGAAATGAAGACAACAGAAAAAATTACTGATAATCATTATAATGATCATGATCATGATCATCAACAACAACAGTAATAACAACATGATATATCAGTCAAAAGAGCAAAAATATAATCAAAGATGGAAAAGTTAAATGGTTCACTGATTAATATCATTTTCAACCTTCTTTCATCTTTTCTTGTTTTCACCAAATGCTTTTCATTGTTTAGTTAAATCTGAAAGCGAAAAAAAGTGAACTTCAAAAGAAGAATCATTTTATTTGTTTTGTTAACGCTTTTTAAAGCAACAGTAAAAAAGACGTTCGAGTCATTCATAGACTTCGAATCAATGAAACTAGCTTTTGTGATTTCCTTCAAAAATTGATTTACTCTTTGCATGATCAACTCTTTGGCTTCACTGAAGTCAACCATTGAATGGAAACCAGAAAATGGCAAGAGAAGCCAAATGGCCGAACATGTAAAAATATCGAATATTGCTTAACGAATGATTTCTGAAACTTTTCATGTTCGACTCTTCGATTCGATGAATAAAGAATAAGTTCCATTTTTTCTTCTTTTCTTTTCAAGTTCAGGGACAAAAGTGTTTTTTTGGTGAAAAAAGTTCACGATAAGTGAGCTGTTATTCCTGAGTGAACAATGAATCAACTTGGGTTTGATTGTTTGTAAAAAGATTAAAGTAAACAAAAAAGTCGGAGCTTTGGCAGAATCTTAAGTTGTCCATCACAGATTAAACAGGAAAATGATGAGAGAATTGAAGGTGAAATTGGAATTTTTTTCTTATTTCTCTCCTTCCTTGAAGACCACAGGAAAAGAGCGATGAAGATGATGAAGATTAAGACAAACAGATGACCAGAATGGACATGTAAGGGAAAGAAAAAGTAATGACCTGTAGAAGGTATTTAGTGTATATAAAGATGACAAGAAAGAGAAGCTTTTAGTGTTTGTTTGAAGAGGAAGAGAGAGAGAGAGAAGAAAAAAAATAAGAGATAAAATTGGAAATAACAGGGAATGGATAAGGAATTGGAAGGAGATTGAAAGAAGAGTTGAAAGTAAACTGACATGGAATCTTGCATTGATCATCATCATCATGATCGTCAACTGCAAAATCAGTGAATGCTACAACATTCTGAATTAATGCTCAATCTACTGACATTTTTTTGCTTCTCTCGTCGTTACACAAACGTTTGGTTAGTTTATTTCATTTAACATCAATTAATAGCCATTTAAGACAAACTCTTTTTTTTCCTTCTCTTCTCTTCTTTACTCCTTTCAATCCATTACATTTCATGGTAATTTGAGTTCCAATTCAATTCACCTTTCCCTTCCTGGTCACTCTTTTAATTACAGATTGTTGTTCATTTAATTTGTTAACCTTTTCTGTTTCATTTCGCTCAACTTTAACAGTTTACTTCATTTAGACTTTATTTTTATCTTTTTTCACCAAAATTGCTTTTTCTTTAAAAGTCAACTAAAAGTCAACTTTAACCATTTTTCAGGTTATCTTTTCATTTGCGTTTCTGTTCAGTTTGGTTCGAAGATTTAACTGTTTAGCTTTTTTGCTGTTGAAGGGAAATTGTTTCACTTGAGGTTGATTTTGATGGGTTAATTTATGCCCTTGAAAACTGAGAATGTTGAGAAATGATCTTTCAATGTTTCAACTTTTATTGAGTTATCAATCATCACTTTGATTCTGTTTTTATTCAGCTTTTGATTTACAGTGCAATATTTATGTGTACAACTCCATCTGTAGTATGCTGCTGATGAGAATGGGTCTGACGACCGTTTAAGATGTTTAATAAAAAAAGGGAACAGTTTTCAAAGACGAAACTTAATATGAGTTAACTGTTGAAGCTTAATTGTTAACGGTTTCGAAGCGGGTTTAATTTTTATTTATTTTTTATGTTTTTTCACTTCCATTAACATTCAATTTTGTTTAGTTTTCTCTAATTTTTATTGTATTTTGTTGTTCATCTGCTTACAGGACAAAACCTTTTCTTTGTGATAGCTTGGCTTCTGGAGTTATTGGAGCTTCGGATGTAATTGAAGACAATTATATCAAACAAAGTGATACACTTAAATCGAAAGATGACATTTCAGGTGAGTAATTTTGGCATTTTTGATTTGTGCTTTCAAATGTTAGATTTTTTAATTGTTAATTCTTTCATCTTTTGCTACAGGCTTCGATTTTGGGTGCAGTGGTTATGACAGAGTAACGATTTGTTTGAATCAAGATCACAGAGGTCCAACTGAGTGTTCAGGAATATGTAATTCAAATTGTTCCTCAACTCGATATCATTGCTATCATCCTTCAATGGATTACAATGTAAGTACAATTGCAGTCACAATTTTCAATTGTTGAAAATGACCAGATTTATTCTTAAGTTGACAATTGTTATAAGTTAGCTTGCTTTTAGCTCTAGATATCAATCAACATGTTTTATAAAAAATTAATTTTCAATCTTTTTTTCACGTTTCTTTACCAGGGTCAATCTCAGGAGATAACTTATTCAGATCTTCAGATGTCTACCAGTGTTAACGATTCCCAAGGAAATCGTATGTTGATTCAAAGTATTCAGGAAAGTGGAGCTCCTCCTATTGAGTATACAACTCTTGATTTTCAGGAGATGAGTAAACAGAGTTCAGGCGTTAACAGTTTCGAGATGGTTAATGGACTTGGACCTGGAGTTATGGTTGGCTTATTTGGTGATTCAAAGTTGCCAAAGCGTGGTTTAAGTGTAGCTGATGGCTCATCAGATGTTGAAATGACCATTGAAGCCGCAACTATTACCAATCCAAATACAATTATGTCTTCACCTTACAAGGAAATTGATGTAAGCCCTGTCAATTTTGGCTAAACATGCGAAATCTATGTCAGAAATCCAAAATCTCATTAATTTCTTTTTTCTCCATTCACTAGTCGAATCAACTATTGAGAAAACAACCGTTAGTCTCGATGACAGGCACGGATGAAGACAAGTCTGGACCAGTTTACGTTTAATACAACAATTTATACCTTTTCTATATGTTGATCAAATCATGAAATGATGAACAAACATTTGACTGTGATATTTTTACTTCCAAATATATGGGAAAAGACATTTATCTGTGATTTATTTAAAGAGCAAAAAAGCATTGTAAACATTTCAAAAAGCAGTTTGTACTCCTTGTACATTGCTTGTAAATTTTTGATTCTTTACATTATATTCTGATTACTTCATTATCCATGTAAACCAACTGAATAAATCAAATTTTAACTAAAAAAATAAAGATTTTCAAAACGAAAAACTGATTGTCTTCATCTGAAAGTCAAATTTCGTCCAAAGAGCTTTAGTAATCTTACAAGCATTGTATTAGTATCTTCACAGGTACGAGGGAATAATGTATGAAAGTATGTTTGCGGTCATCTTTATGTAAGTTAACCAGGTTTCGAGAAGATAACTCTCCCCATCACGAAGCAAATAATTATCGGAGTGTCCATGCCTAATTCAAGTCGAAAAATTCTTGTTTTTTCTTATTTATGATTTTTTATCAAAAGACCATTAAACTTAAATTATTGTTTGACACAAAACTGTTGACATCTAAGAGCTCACTTTTTTCTAGTAGATTTTTAGTTATTTTAATGAGAATTGAAAATGAGAAATGAGAATTTCTCATGCAAAGAAGAATGAATTCATCATGATAATGAAATCAAGTATCCATCTAATGATATGTAATTCTTGGATCTGTTGAACGAAATTCGATTCGTTAGATGGCGCCAACTGTTTAACTTGCTCTTGATTCAATACAATGAGCTTACTCTATGAACATTTTGATTGTTATGAAACAGCATTGGATTTGCTTGGCATTTACTTAACCCATTGTTCACTATTTATACTCTACCAATCTGGTTGAGTTGATTTTCATTGTTACAATATTATCTTCAATACATATTTGAACGTTAATCTTAAGGCTTTACTTTCGATTTTACCATTGGTTTGAATCAACTAAATCTCGAACAATTGTTCGGATTGATTGCGTGTACTATTTTTTGCTTTCCAAAATGAGAAAAAATTTTTATTATAAGAAAAATTAATCTTGAACAGCTTCAGCTCAGAAGCATTATCTGATAGAAAACAATCTTTAAGTTAAAAGCAAAGACTTTAAGGGCTAGAAACGGCAGATGGGCAAAACTCTAATCTCCTGAATGCATGGATAATCAAGTGAAATATATTCTAGTGTCGATGATATCCTTGAATTAGAGCAACATATCGAAACTCACGGTACAGCCTTCATTGGGTCAAACGTGATCAAGTACTTTGAAGTGGCGAGAAAAGTGTTTCAAAAGAAAGTTTCATTGTTTGCACCAAGTTGTTGAGTTGTTCATAGATGACATGATAATGTGACTGACAAAGTGATTGTAAGAGTGAAAAAAGTTTACACTTGCAACAAATGAACACAAGTTGAGCTGAGCATGCGATTGAAAGGAGTAAAAGTTGAGACTGAATATCAATGAAACTCTCAGTTGCAAGTAAATGTAGCCAATGTTAACAGTGAGTTGAATAGTAGACTTGATTCAAGAGGTGTTCACATTGAACCATGTAAACATGTGAAATTGTTTAAAGACGGTAAAGACTGAGCATCAAGAATAGAGTAAACTTGCGTTAAAATGATTGTTAAATAGCGCATTAGATTAAACTAGAACAGAAAACACAAAAAAACCAAAAGAAAGGAAAATTTTGTAAATTTTGTTCCTTTCGACAATTATGAAATTGAACAATTTAACCCTTTTACTGGTCAATCTAACCTGTCAACTGTTAACCTCTCCATTGATCATCATCTTGTCCACTTGTGCAGTTCACATTAAACACTTTTCCTTTCCCTCAACCTTCGACCTAACCCGTGATTCAACCCTAACCCTGGACTGTGATTACGCTTACAATGAAAATGATTTACTTTTGGTTGTTCGCTGGTTCCATCAAAGTCTAACTGACCGACCCGATCCAATCTACCAATGGATACCTGAGCGTCAAGTTCGCCATGTGGCAGCCGACTATAAAAGTTCATTCGATTACGAGCACGTTTCCGATGCTTCGGATCCCTTTACAATGTACCGTTCGGTAGTTTTACATCAACCAGTGCCAACCATGTCTGGTAAATACAAATGTTTAATATCTTCTCTGGCCAATTCAGATTCTCGCGAGGGAAACGTCTTCATCTATGGTGAGTAATGTTCAACTTATGGAAAGTCAACAATAAACTTTGAGTGAAAAGTTTCAAATGTTTCAATGCTATTCAATTAGCAGAACTTTGTTTTTGATGGAAATGTTGATAACTGCAACTCTCGACCATTGGGTTTACCATTCATTTCATTTTGACGATAAACAGTCTTGACACCTCCCCAAGGTGTTTATAACCTATTGTATTCTTGTTAGCCCATTAACATTATCAACATTATCACAGCAAGTCCAGTTATTTGCTGTGAAACTCGGAAACAAACAACACAACCCAAACAACAACAACTGAAAAGAAGAAAAAAAAGTCTGATTCTCTGTAACTGACATCGATATTCCTGTGAGATTCGTTGGTCTTATTGTCTTGATAATGGAGTATTGAGTAAAAGAGGAGAGGAAAAAAATATAAACCAGAGAAAAGAAGAAATAATAGAAGAGGAAAAAGGCTTGGAGTGAGGATGCAGGGAAGTAACAATATGAACAAGAAAAAAACGAAAAAAAAGAACGATGATGATGATGAGAACGATGAGAAACAGAAATTGTTTAGACAGTGAATCAATCAATTATATTGATGGGCCATTCAATTGGACTTTGAAAAAGCAAAGCAAAAAATGATCAATCCAATTATCTCAATCAAATGATAATTATTGTTGAAATTATTGTTAAATAGCGTGTACGAAATTTATATTAGACGAGAAGGATTCGAAAAAATAAGGTAAAGTTGAGGAATAATGGATGCAAAATGCTCATCCAAGGGATGATAATGATGATGATCAAGGAAAACAAAATTATCTTTGCTATTGATGATCACTTTTGTTTATCATGTAAATATGATGATAACTTGAGTAAATTATTATTATTAGTTTCAAAGCTGTTGAAATAATTTCAGCGAAAAGAGAATGTAAATTTGGTGAAATTTTCAAGGTTGATAAATGTTAACCATAAAGTTTTTCCTCGTTAAAGATAATCGTCTTTTTACATGAAAAACTTTACGCTTTGGTGAAGTTGAGTTCAACCGAGTTGCAAGAGACTCTTAGGTTTAGTTGGATCAAGTCAAGAGCTTGGTTGCAAGAGATGAATGATATCGAGTTTAAAGTTGCTGGTCAATCTTATTGTGCTTTTAAGCTGATCTAAGTTCAATGATCATAAAATTGTGTTCGTTTGTTCATCAAATAGTGTCACAGCGTCTATTGAAGAATCAAATTAACATTTTATTCGAAGCACAATCAGCCAATTTTCAATGATAATTGATTCTTGTAAAGAAGTGTTCTAAGGTCGAATTTCATTTTTCTCACTTTAACTATGATTGTTCGTGAAAGATATATTGATACTCTATTTGCTGAGAAAAACTATAAATTGTAAGTTTTTCCTTCATTCGATACCTTCATTTTGGAGAAAAGAAACAAAATTGACCGAAAATCGAAGCTATCTGATTGCACAACTTAATCTTAATAAAACACTCAGCCTTCATATACTTCGATAATGACCAGAAGCAAGCAAACTGGTGAACGAAACTTCAACTCAACAAGTATTATTAATAGCAAAACATTAGTTGATGTCATTCGAAGGAAACGAATGCTTCCAAATCTATTCATTAGAATAAATATCTTTGGTCAAGTTACACTCGAACGAAATGCAATACACAGAATATCAGAAAATTTTACGATTAATTACTTTCGACGAAATCAGATATAATTACATATTTTCTGTTACATATTCCTTCAACTATCAAAACTGTTTGATGAGACTTCAACTTGTAACTCGAGTCAATTTCCTAACCCTTCAGCAGATCAAGAATAAACTATTTACAATGTCAACAGCAAACTACCTTTCAACTGCAGATGAGCCAATAAAATATCATTTGTTGAATTTGAATAGCAATTCTGAAACAATAGCGAATAAAGAATCCAAACGAAATGTAAAGTTGAACCGATTGATACGCTTGACTGGCAACTTTTTTGCCTCGAGATTATTAATTATAATATTTATGGAAAATGAATGAAAACATTTCTCCATCGAGTCTATTTTTTGTCCATTTTTGTCATCATTTAATCATCATGATGACCACAATTCGTTATCATTCCATTTCGTTGCTTCTTTATCTTTTCTTCTACTCAACTTATTCTCTGCCAACCTATTAATATAAATGACAATATAAAGTATCCAACATCGTTTTTAACGTATTACTACAAATATCTCATTTCCTTGGTTTCATCATCATCATGACCATCTTGGATCGTCAGACTATCAAAACAATCATTTACCTTGTTCAACCTCAATATTTTTCTTCTTCTCCTCATCAATCAGAATCATTTCTTTTACCAACCTTTTTCTTCTCCTTCATTTGATAACAATTTTCACTTCTCATTCGATTCCTTTAAATTTCACTCAATCATAAACACTTTACTCATAAACATTTTACTCTTGATCTTTGATCACCTTTCACTGGTCAAGTTTAAAGGACTAAACAAGTTACTTGGATCAAAGCATCATTTCTGGTCAATTAAACTGTTCGTCATTCATTATTTATCAAGAGAAAGAAAAAGAACGGGAAAAACTTCATTTCCTGATACTTTTCTTTTCGCCAACCCTTATCCCATGAAATGGATGAGAATGTGGTTAAAGATTGTCTCATCAGAATCACAACCTTTACCTAAAATCGTAAATTGGAATCATTCGATTATTGCTTTTCTTGTTGATCTTTACCATATAAAAACAAACAAACAGAAGAGAGGAAAACCTGAAAACCCAAATGGATCATACAAATGTGTAAACATTGAGATATGTTCAAATGTAGATGTCACGAAGCTTCTTAATGATCATTTAATCGGTTACTTCAACCATAATTGCAAGACAAATGGTAACCCAAATTAAATGGATTGGCCTTTCTCAATAGCCTTTTGACCATGAAAAACATGATAATAATGGACAATGTTACAAGAATATAATAGTCGAGTTAATGGAATGAAGCAAAAATTGCACAGAAAACGGAACTCGACAAACCCAAAGCAAAATAATCAAATAAAGATTATCTTTTTTTCATCATTACTTTCATCATATGAACACGAAAGTTTTTCAAAATGTAATCAAAGTTTGCATCAAAATCAACTTAATTTGCTGCCATTTGTTGACAATCAAATGGACCAAAGAAAAGTTCTGTTGATAAACTTTTTATCCTTTCACTTTCATCATAAAAGCGTTTCACTTTTTTCTCTTCCAGTTTCACAGTTTAAGCTTTACTTTCTTCAACAACTGTAAACCCAAATGTTAAAGTATTAGATGGGATTAACTTGAGCTAAAACTTGAAAATTGTGTTTAAAAGCTTCGATTGTTTTTGACCAATTTCAGAATCTAATGTAAACATTATCCTTGGAACTTTTTTCTTGTTCTCTTCATTCCAATAATCATAATCTAACATTTTCTCGTTTACTTTCGTTTCACCAAAAGTGATAAAGATGACAACCATTGATGATGATGACGATGATTACCAATGGATTTTAGTTCTTAGTTTTCCTCTTTTCGCTCATCGTTCTCTTCGCATAAAACAGAGAACAGAATAAGAGGAAAAGAAGACGAAACAAGTAAAAAGGATTAACTTGATGGGCTTACCATTTCTCATCATCTTTTCATCTTCTTTCCATTTCTCATCATTTTTTAGCTTTACCAATATTTACCAACTTTTGGTTGAAAAAGCTTTTGTTTACTTTGTCTTTATTTGTACAATTATTGCAAGTTCAAACAAACCATTTTAATTGCTTACTTGAACCATCATTTGGTGGACAAATTCATTCAACATCTAATTTTATCGATTTGGGAGAAAATTTTACGGGCCCAAAAAATGGAAACTTTTACCTTCGATTATGGAATTGAGAGGGAAAATGAAAAAGTGCATTTTCTGTGCTAATAATGCAGTCATTTATCATAAAAAAACTCGACTCTTGAAAGGCTTTTGTAGTCGAGTAAATTCATCTTGACAAATGAATCAATCATGAGCAATACCTTTTACAGATTTACTTTGATGACTTGTTAATATTGTCAACAACAATAAAAGTGGTGAAAACAAACAAATTGAAGACAATTTGTTTCATTGGTAAAAAGAGTTGAGGCAATTGAGAGTAAAATTTATTCACTATTTTTACTTTTGTTTTATTTTTCGTTAAACAATTATCAGATGGAAAATGGTTGAAAGCTGGGAGTTTAAATTATTCACTCCCAGGGTTAGTTGACTGGATAACAAGTGATATTGTTTCAGAATTGGTTGTTATTGTTCAACATAATGAATAGCTTGTCAAGTGAAAGGAAGAAATAACTGTAATAATGGGCTGTAATGATCGAGAATTTGGAATGGATGGAAAATTCCAAATCTCAGGTATTCTCTTTGCGTGCGGCGCTTTTGTTCATATCATTGGACAATTGATTAATTGTTGCATTTTGCATTATACAGTCGAGAGTAAATTGAAATCAATCAGTTTGGAAAAGTAATAAGAAAATGTTTGATCGAACAGGGAAAAAGGTTAAAAAAATAATGCATTACAATTGAGTTTCCAAATCACGATTAAATGTTCACTTTTTTTGTTCGCTATCAGTTTCGTTTTTTTGCCTTCTGTTCGACCTCAAGAGACTTTCGATAAACTTATTGATCGCAAGGCGAAATGTTGAATCAGATTGAATTTCTTCTTCTTCTTCTTTCCTCTTTTCTACATTTTCTTACCTTCGTCCATTCAAATGTTTCATGAGTTGAACATTTTATTTCCTTGTTTTTTCTGCTTATTCAAACATTTTACTTACCATGTTACATGGTTAAACAGAATGTTGAATGTTTTTTCAAAAAGAAACCAACTTTTCCATTCTTGTTCGCTGTTCACCTTTTTATCATTTTTGTCAATTCGATTCGCCGGAAGACTATTCATTTGTGAATCGGAAGTTGCAATAGACTTTAGTTTCAATGTTGAAGTTTCTGCCATTTTCAGTGTAAATGTTGGGTGAAAGAAGGGATAAGCATGAGGAAAGAGTTGCAAGAGGAGGAGGAGGAGGAGGTGGAGAGGAAACAATGGATGAAGAGACTCGATGAAAGAGGAAAAAGGAAATCACTTGGTATTAGTTGATGAAAATGTTGAACAAATGAGATTATTGGCTATCTTAAATTTCAATTGGCTTAATCTTTCAATGCTGTTCAACTTTTTTTTGTCTTTCCTTTCATTTTGTTTAATGTTACATGGACAACCTTTTACCGTTCATGTTTAACTCATACTTTAGCCTCTTTTTACGGTTACCTTTTATCCTTAATATTTTCATTTTGTTTCCAGATAATGCAATTGAAAGAAGAGCAAACTTTGTTAGACAATAATATACGGAAACTTAAAACTTTAAATTAACTTTTTTTCTTCTCTTCCTTTTGCTTTTTGCTTTTCCTTTCAGCTTTTGTGGCTTGGTAAACGGTAAAGTTTTTTGTTTCACCTTTTCCTGTGTTTATGTCAACAAATGTTGAAAGCAAAATGCAATTAAAGTTGAGTCAGCTTAGAATGAGAAAATTACAAAAAACAATTGAAAAAAATGTTTACAAATGAAATTCTATCCAGGAACAAGCATCTTGAGTTTGATTAAATTCAAATGCCAGAATGTGATGAGTACAGAAAAGAGAAAACGAAAACTGTCCAGTTTCGAACAGTGAGATGCTTCGAATTCAAGAAATCATCGAAATTAGTCACTTTTTTGGTAAAATTTTTCACAGATTTCATCAAAATTGAAATTTCGATTTTTGGAAAGTTTTTGGATAAGCAAAGAAGAGAAGAACGAAAAAATTTGCTCGGTTTCGAACTATTAAAATAGATCTGAATCCTTGATAAGTCGAAATCAGTCGAGTTCTTGAGCAGTAAAAATTGTTCACTTTAATCGAAATCAAATATTCGATTTTTTGGAAAGTTTTGTATCGTTCGACTTATTATTTCCATTATTTTCTTTTCGCTATTCAGAACTTTTCCAAAAGAAATTGTGAAATTCTTATGGTGTTAAGTTAATTTGAATACTGGAAATGTTACATTTGATGCAAGAATCGATTTCTTCGTTACATGAAAATGCAATCTTTGGATTAATATGATCTATAAGTGTCACTAAACAGTGCATTTACTTCATCCTTTTGCCACTCAAGTTGAAGGTTTACTATCAATTTGGAAGCATCGAGTAAATATTGAACTAGTCACTGATAGAGTTAAATGTAGAGACAAAAGGTAAAGACAATCAACATTGGATGAATTTCTGTCCACTTGAACATTACCAAATTGGTAAGGTCAACAAGAGATGAAGAGAGGCTAAAAATGGTCACAATTGTCGAGTTTACTTGAGCAAAAAAAGAGAAAATCCAATTATTCTTAATTTCATTTTTAACTTTTCATTGGGAAACTGCTTACAGCGTTTAAACTTTTCATGAGAAATCCAATTATTGAATGTTCAATTTGTTGCTCGATTGAAAAACGAGAAAAAAAGGAAATTTTCTCAGGTAAATAAAGCAAATTGACAGTAAAAGGAAAAAAAGCAATTGAATAGTCGACTTTTGTCTCGATCAGTTCAATCATTGAATAATGAAAACTCTCATCATTTTCAATAACTTGCTTCTTTAGCTGCCAACAAAAGTTGCCGATTTAATTTTCAAAAGTAAACTCGAAAAAAGGAGAAAAAAACTTCAAAATTGAATCGAGTAACTCAATCATCATCAACGTTTATCCATTGAAATTGTAACAACCTAAAGATGTGAGAAAAGTGCACTTTTCAAGTTATTAATGCTCAAGTTGTTGAAGTTCAACTGTTGAGAACATTTGGTGAAACTGTTCTTTCAATAAATTCAGTTGTCATGAAAAAATTTTGCCCAATATCATTGAAGCCCTAAGGGTAAACAGCGTATGCCTTGAATTTGAAAGGTTGAGTGAGAAGGAAAGTTGAAACTTTCAAGACCATTAGTTGGCAACTTTCAAAGTTGAACAAAAAGATTAAACATGAAGATGATTAGAGTGATGAATTTGAAGAAAGTTTTTTTCAACAAAAAACTGAGCAATTGGCTCGTTTCACCATGACAAAGTGAACATTGTTAACCTTTATCATGTTCAAGAGTTCATCTCATAAGGTGCAAAAAATGAAGCGAAACATTTTTCATTTCAAAGCATTTTCCAAGGTGGACAAGCTCAAGATGAGTGAAGAGAAAGTCAAGCATTTTCATGGAGCAAATTCAATGGTTGATTCAACCTGAGCCAATCTACATTCACTTTGAGCTACTCTTGAACATAAATTACTTTTGCTTTACTTTTGTTCATCTTGTTATAATCCAATTTCAAATGAGCAACTTTTTTCTTCTCGTCCATTTCGCTTGCTTTTTTTCATCCATCTTGTTTCAGATTTTAGTCTTTCTTGCTTTCTTTCTTTCTTCATCTCTGACTTTTCAGATTCTATCCATTTGGAATTTTGGGCAATTTCCAAACAGAGTAAACCATTGATTGTATTAACAAGCAAAGAAACAAAAACAAGCGAATCACAAAAAAGGTTAAACTCAGGGAAGCATAAAATTGAGAATGATATCCAATAGGTTGGACTGAATCTTTCAATTCCCAGTCTGTATTTGACTTAAATGCGAACTCACAAAATTGACTTTGAAACATTCAATCTCGATGTTTTTTTTGTTCATTTCTTTTTTTACTTTCGACTTTTTCGTTCCAATCTTTCATTTGATTATTCTTCTGCAAACATTTGAACAATCCTTGATTTGTCCGTGAAATTGGTTTATAAAAGAATGACTTTCGAAAGAACGAGAAAGTCTTTCAAAATTTTAGTCGAAAAGCATAAAGTTTCGCTTCATTCTTGACTTTGATCGAAAATTTCGAAGAAACGTTTATATTCGGAGCTTACAATTTTTCCGCTTTTGGGATTAGAATATGAAAATATGTTGTTCAGAACAGCTCTTATCCAAGAAATCTGGATTTCTAGTTTCACGAAATCTCGATCAGTTTGAGAACTCCATTAATTTCATCCTTCGTATGAACTGAACTTCTAGCGCAAGAGTGTTCTTCAAAATTTGCAAAACTGAAAATTCTAAAGCGAATGACCTTTCATTATTCCGACTCACGGAATTCACTCTTCTTGATAACTGAATCGATACGATTGATTCGAACTGGCAAACCTGTAATCTTCCAAAAATGCTCTTTTCTCAAGTCGACCTATTATCTTCTCAAAAGTCGAGACAAAGTTTCGAAAAGTTTGTACAGTAATTTGGTAGAGTTTCAAGTTGTCGTCGAATTTCAAGTTGAATGAAAAAATAGAATTTTTTTCGGTAAATGATGAAATCGTTGACATTCTCTCTTGGTGTTACAAGACTTTTCAATTAACTCTTTTTTAACTAACCTTTGAAAATCTATCATGACGAGCCAATAAAAAAGTATTTGTCTTTTTTATTATTTTTGTCCTTCTCAACTTGCCAAGTCAAACATGACCTGAAATCCAAAGTGTTTCCCATTGCTTACAACACTTAACTTGCACATGAATCAAGATTGGCAAAAATACTCTTCATGAATAACTTGACAGAAACGGCGAGAAAAAGCATGTCGATAATGATAAAAGGAAAAAAGAGGAAAATGATAAAGATGTAAATGAATAGTTAATGATAACAGAAATGACCAGATAAGACTAAACTGTTTGCATCATTTAACTTTACATTATTGGTCAACATCAATCAATGCAACATTTTTCCCTTTTCCTTCATTATTACCAACGTCACAACTTTATCAGTTAACAACCTTGCCTGTCAACCTTTCAACAACTTCAGGTATACAATGAAAGGTGTCCACCCAAATAATACCTTTGAATCACAATTTTCGCTTCTCATCATTATCAACATTTACTCTAACGAAAACATCTTCATCTTTCATTTCAAGCAAAAGCAACTTTTTCTCTTCTCCTTTTTCCGGATTTATTGTTGGCTGACCCATAAAAACATTTATTGATGATATTAATGAATACACATTAATTTACCTTTTCTTTTTTCTTATCTTTTCCTTTTCATAACCATCAATTGGTTCAATTGTTTCCAACCGACAACCTTGATCGTTCCCAGCATCACCCAGATCATTTATATTCACTTCTCGAGTTGATCCTGACACCGGTAATCTATTACTTAAATGTATTACTCGTCAAGTTTATCCTTTACCTCAAGTTAATTTATACAAATATGTGACTTCAAGTGCCGTTAATACTTTTATATCTAAAAAAGCAACATCAACCAATTCAACAATCAAGCAAACCAGTGAATCAAGTTACTCTTCAACAATACCTTTGATAAATGTAAATAAAAGCATCAGTTTACCTTCACCTTATTACGACGTTTCCATCGAGTATACACTAAATGAACAAGAACTTTTGGCAACAGTCTTTAATCGAATTCCAACAATTTTCGAGTGTCGAGTAACAATCAACAATACAGACTATTCGTCAACCAAACGAATCACCTTGTATTCAAGTAAGTGACAAAATCTTCGACTTTACCCTCGACTTTATCTTTGCCTTTACCTTCAAACCCTCAACTCTTGTAAGTCAATGAGTGCTGGAAAAGCAATTAATGAAGAAAAATGATAAAAGAAAATCTCATTTCGAACAGGTTCAATAATGTGACTTTAATCATGTGCATGTGAATATTATACAGAGCCACACCCTGTAATTTATATCAATAAAAAATGATGGGCTAAGTTTTGCACTCTTTTCGTGGCTTCATCTTGATTTGATTCTTGCCATTAAACTGCAACTCAATACAATGGCGAAAACTTTATCACTACAAATTTATCAAATCATCTCATCTTTTCACCTTTTCTTGTCGACAAATTAATTTCAATTGCAACTGTCAAAAGACAGTTTACAGTTTAAAAACCTTTTTTTGCTTCTTTTTTATATTCGACTATCGATAATTGCTTCAGGTTAACAATCATTAAATTGTATTAATTTTCATTTAATGTCGTCTTTGGCTTTGTTTTCTTTGCATTTATATTCAAGTCTACAATCTTATTGTAAATCAACAGCCATTTATCTTTATTCACTTTATCGGGAAATGTTATTTTTCTTCATTTTTCTCCTTCTCACTTAATTATCTCATGAACAAATATTTTCTTTGAAAATTCCTAACTTTCCAAACAACTTTTATTGTCATCTTGTCCAACGAAAACTCGAGGCAAACTTGGAACCGACAAGAGGAGAATTTTCAAAAAGATGAAATAATTCCAAGTCAAACTTTTCACATTACAAAAGTTTTTAAAGTTTTTTTTCCATGAATTCAATGAACAAGTTGAAAATTCGAAATTTCACAAATTCGAAGCTCCGGAATTCCATATTTCACAGAAACTAATTTGACAAATTCCATTATCAAGTCAGTTGCAAGATTTGCAACAATTCATTTCAAATTAGACTTTTCTCTCAATTGCATTTTCTTATCAGTTTTTTATTCTTTATTCATGCAAATATTCATTTCATTTTCACCGAGTAACCATAATTATTCAATAATATTCAAATTTTGTGTGAAAAAAGCTCATAAAGTGAAAACTATCATCAAATCATGGACCAAGTAAACACTGAATAAATGTAAAAGTTTCACAAACTCGGAGTAATTGAATCTTTTTTGTAATGAAATAACATTCATTGAAATGTTAATTTCCAACATTTTTTAAATGAATCCATTTTTTCCTCATTGCAAATTGTTCTAATTCCGTTATTCACATGAATTTGCAATCTTTTATCGATTAATTTGGAAATTGCATTTCCCCTGAAATTTCGTTCATCACTTGATTTTATTATCATTACTTTGGCCACAAATGCATAACAATATTGATTGATTAGTTGCAATTCCGTCATGTGAATGCAAAATAGATTAAAGTCTGTATCAGTTTTCCATGAATAACAATCTTTTTTTTTGTTCTTCTCTTTGAGAAAATATTCATCTGTTTTCATCAACAATTTTCCCAATCTAAATGCTTTTCAATTCTTTTCAACTTTTCCTGCTTTCATGATAGAATCTTGTTTTACTCCATTTCTTTTTATCATTATTCATACAATTGCAATCATGTTTATTTCAATAACAATAATCAACTTTTCTCACAATTGCAATCATGCTATAATTACATTTTGCCATTTCGTTTTTTCGCCAAAACTCCAAATTCCAACCTCTTTTTTGTTTCAACTTTTTGCTTTTCATGATTTCCATTCTCAGATGTTCATTTAATTATGTATTCAGAGTCAAGCCTCGCAATGATATGACAAAAGTCAGGTTCAATTTAATTGCGAGTTTAGACATTTTTATTAAAGTTTTAATGTCAATTGGTTGGCAATTGAATTTAAGATGAACTCAATATTTCATTATAAACTCAACAATTCTGCACATTTAATCATTCTCGTGAGATTTCACCGTTTTCTCAACATTTTTTGACTTTTAATGACATTCGATTCATGGGAATAGCGATTGGAAAATTTTATATCCAAACTCGATTCGACATTTGCTTGAGTCTTAGAGTTGCTGGGAAGGAAAGGCTGGATAAAAATTCATTGAAATGAGCAAAATGAAACATTAACAAAGAAGTTGAGTTTGAACATGTTAAACTTGAAAAGATTGGTAACAAAATTTCATTAGAAAAGGAGTAAATTCTGTTAGGATTATCAGGAAAAGGGAAGAATCAAAAGGAACAAAAAACTGCATCATTTGGTGTAAATAAGCTGATTAACTGAGAACGGATTATTCTTCATTTAATTGTTTTCTCTGTTGTTACAAATTTCAAAGTAACTTACACCAGATGATTGAGAAGCAAAAGTTATTCAAAAACATTTATCGAAACAAACTGTTGGAGAGCAAATATAACATTAACCAAAACGGACAGAAAACTTCGACCAACTCCAAGTCTGAATCCTGAGAAAGTAATAGTTCGAACCTTCATGAACACAAACTTCAAGTTTAATCTATCGTTAGAAGTTGTTTTTAGAAGCAAAATGGCCCAAAACAAAACAAAGTGAATATCGAAGTAAAATGAAGTTGACCGAAAATGAATAAAAATAATTTGCTCGACATTCAGTTGAACTCATTCCTTCGCACTTGCAAAGTCGCCATCGAATTTGCATTTTTGTCTTTTTAAATTGTTATCGAAAGGATAATGCTGAGTGAAGGAGAAAAGGTGAAAACGAAATCATCTTTCAATTGAAAATGTCTTGTTAAATGTTGCAAGAAAATGGATAATGAGAAGTCTCTTGATAACTGTGCTAGTTTATAATATACATTGATAGATATAGAGATATTTTCCTTGCTTGGTAAACCAATTACAACTCTTTTACTGGTCTTACATTTTATTGATTTTTACTTTTGCCTTTTTACACAACCAAAGCCCAAACACACAAAAATGATTCACCTGAGATTCATTATCCTTTCTCTCTTCATGACACTTTATTTTCACCATCACTTTTGCCTGAGATAATTTCTGTTCATTTGACAGGACAGACCAGAAACAGGCGAGAAAAAGGAATTCTCTTGATTCCTTTCGATTCTCCTGTCACTGATCAATTCAAACATTCATTATTAAACCCAAATCATTCCAATTCACTAATGACAATCATGTACTTGTTGCCCAGTTTTAAATCTCCTTTTATTGCTTTTCCAACTTGATTAACAGACTTGCTGATAACAGAGTTTTGGACAAAGTTCAATATTCTCATTTCCAATTGAAATCATTTTACAACTTTTTTTTCCACCAAACTTGAATGCTTTGTTTGCCCATAAAATTGAGATTTTTTTATTGAACAATATTCCGGGATTATTATAAATTAATTGAAACTGTCATTATCATCACTTATTTCATCCATTAAATATCGTTGGTAATTATTTTATCATTTACTTTGATAGTAAATTTCATTATAAATAATCATTTTATTGATATCAATTGTCATTATTTTTTGTCTAATTAATAAAGTTGCAATAAAAAAAGAAGGAAAACTGTTGGTTAATATGAAAAGGAAAGAATCTGATAATTACATGACAATAGTGAAAGTTGTAAGAAAATGATTTTCTTTTCCAGGCTCATGACAATTGGAAATGAATTTTTTGTATTCCTCGTTTCGTTCAACTTGACAATTTAATAGCTAATTGATAAATGTTTCTTTAACATTTCAGAAAATCATTTGTTAATATTTCACTTTCAACTTTCAACATGTCATTAATAATTTTCCTTCCTTAATTGTAAATCGATGCAGTTTTGCCGAGTTCTGCAATCATTATCATTTTCTATCAGATATAATCATGGAATTGATAGTTCATGATGAAGAAATGATCAAGATTCACAAAATGAAAAAGCGTTTTGATTTCGAAGCAATAATCTGGCTGAAACGATGCCATTGACGATTAGGGAAAAACATCAATGCATCAGTTTTGTCTTTAGGCTATAAGAAGCAATTTAAAGTCGCAATGACTTTGACTCGGAAATGTGTATAAATCTAGATTTTCGTGAAAATTTTATTTCGAAGTTTCAATTACAATCAAAAAAGTTTATTTTTGTGGCTGATTTTTCTGTTGAATGATCGCAAAAATTTTATAGATCAAGTATTTGTTTCTTTCATTACTTTTCTTGTGAAAGTTAAGCAACTTTGCTAACGAAGAGACAAATTTTTGATTAATTTTCCCCTAACAAGATTACCTTTCATGTTTCATTGTAACCTTTAACCTTGCATAAAGTAAATTTAAAACAAAGTTGATTAAGTAAAAGATTAAATGGCTCATTATTTGGTGCGCAAAAGACCTTATTAAATTATCTTTTACCAAGTGTAACAATCAACTGTTGATTAGATAATTAACAAAAGCTTTCCTTTTCTTCTTCTTTTCTCATTCAATTCTATTTTTGCTGTTTCCGTTTTCAGTAAAGTTTTACAAGATTAATCGAGTAATAATTTACTTTTCATTGTTGATCTCACTTGCCGAGTGTCGCTTTTGTTCACTGATTACCATCCAGAATATCATGAGAAGGAAAAAAGAGCAACGAAATTTCTCTTTTCTCTAAATTCAATTACAATTAGTAGAAAATTTTCTCTCCTTTTTGGCACAAACTTATTAGAGATTCATTTGAAAGGTGTTTGCCTACTTGTATTATTTATCATTCCCTGTGAGATATAAATACAAAAAAGGTAAACCTCATTAACTTGAACAACAAAGAAAGTGTTTTGAAACACTTTAAATTGACTTTTACCTTCACTTGCAAAGTAATTCATTTGCAGCATTTTTGTGTATTGTTCATGTTATTATCAGTGTGATTAAAGTCGCAAGTGCAAGTTGATTAACTTCAACTGCAAGTTAATCAGTAGCATTGAATATAAACAATCCAACTTTCACTTCCATACAAAACTTGATCATCATTTGAAGAGCCTCAAGTTCGAACTCTCAAGATCATATTTGAAACTCTTTTTATAATTGTTCGTTAGTTGAATTTTTTACCAATTTAAGTGAAT